TATTTTTTGAAATTTTTATTTGTTCTTTTTAACTATACCATAGTAGATAAATGTATTTTGACATATTTTACATACATGGAATATAACTTCTCATTCTTGTGGTTGTACAAAATGTGGAGTTACACTGGTTGTGTATTAATATATGAATATAGAAAAATTATATCTGATTCATTCTTCTTTCTTTCTTATTCCCATCCCACTCCCTTCCCTTCATTCCCCTTTTCTTATCAAAAATGAACTTCTATTTTTGCCCACCTTCTTGTGTATAAGCATCTGCATATCAGAGATAACATTCAGTCTTATGAAGTAATATTTTACTTCCTCTAYATTTAATACACAACAGTCACTTCTAAACATCTATACAGACTAGATTTTTCAATTAAGGACTCAATTTGTCTCCTACATACATGACAGTCTTGAATAAATTGCACATATGTAACAATAGTCCTAATTTGAAAATGTCTTCAAAATATGATCATTCTGGCCCTTCCCCAACCCTGTGAACTCTAATGATCACATTTTTAGAAGACAATTCTTCCCAAGAATTTTAACCCAAAACATACAAAATTTGTTTACTAATTATACTTTTGTCATACACTGGCAACCTCTTTAACAGCTAGAAAAGCTAGATGTAGATTAGAACTTGTTGGTCCTTTATATACACTAAGTACACAGCACAGTAAAACAAAACCCACAGACATAGGAACAGTGGTTACTCTTGCCTCATTGTAAGCACACTGGCATGGTACTCCAGAGAATCAGCACACAATATGTATTACCCAAAAAAGAATTTTGCTATTAGCCCACCCAAAAATATTTCATAAGAATTTTATAAAAATAAATTTAGAAAATATGTTATATTTTACCACTTCTACTTTTGACATATATTAAGTACTTTAGAACATCTAGAAAGTCTAGATATTTCTTTTAAAAAGTACTTAGCATTAGTAATTAGTACTTAGTAATGAGGAGTAAAATACACATACAAAATAATGGTTATAATATATGAAAAATTTCTTTTACATATAACCAGTCTGGCACAGGACAATTTCTTCTTGTGGTCCAAGTCTTCGTAATGTCTTCTAACCCACTGAAAAAAATRTGGATAACTGACACTGCTAGATGTGGTCTAAAAACTCCATTTCAAGGTCAATTCCAGAAGATGTTTCTGATTTTTTAAAACAAATGGCCATTTTCAAGACATTATTATGTAACTCTATTATATGTTGTCAAACTGTTTACATTTAGAATGTCCAGATGTGTGGCCTGGGGATGTGGCTCAAGCAGTGATGCGCTTGCCTGGCATGCACAGGGCGCTGGGTTCGATCCTCAGCACCACATAAAATAAAATACAGATGTTGTGTCCACCAAAAACTGAAAAATTCTATCTATCTCTCTCTTCTCTCTCTCTCTCTCAAAAAAAAAAAAAATGAATGTCCAGATGTGGCAAAAGTTTTAAAAGTTTGAGAACAGCTTTTTCATATTATGTACAYAGGCCTTGTACAACAGGCCAGTAAATCTACCTGAAGTGTGGTAGACATTTTCAATTGATCAAATATGGTATGTTACCCTACAGTTTCTCTCTCTGGTTGAATAACACCAAATACCCAAGGGTGTTCACCCTTCCACCCATCATGMTCCAGGGCTTCACTCACATTCCAGGATGGATAAGGCCTTTGTTTTCCTTGTCAGGACAAGTTGTATTCTTGTGAAGCCCTCCTGGAGTGGTCACTGAGAGCCCTAGTCTGTGCTGATTGGCTGCAGAATCCATCATCCACTCACCTTCTTAGGCCCTTAAAGCCCCTGATGGCCTCTAGGCATTTGGTTGGCCACCATTCTTCTTGACATGCTATGCTCCCACCATACAGAGTTGCCATTTTCTCAGTGCTGGCTTTGGCTAGGATGGACAGGATTGGGCCAGGAGATTTGGCAGCCCAGAGATCCTGGGTCTGAGGTTCTATAGATCATTACCATTATCAGGTCATCCAGGCAGGGGGAGAGGCTTTCAGGTTTTTCACAGCCTTGGCCAACCAGTGGACAGTAACATTGGGAGCTCCAGGGGTCTGCAGGGCAGAAACTTTAGGCTTTCATGGGCTCCCCAGCTCCTCACTAGCCTGGGGCTGGAGCACCCCTGAGCACCCTAGGGAGCAGGCCATGCTCCATTTTTTACAACACTCTGTGGAATTAATTCAGCAATTCCTTTTTCCTTTTTAGATTTAATTTTGTTAGTAAAGCTTTTCCTTTTSATTTGTGGCTTGTAATAATGCATTAATAATCAAATGAATTTTTAAAAGTGAAGAACTTGCTACTGTTACTTTGAAAGTTGTTTTCTATATTTCTTATAATTGTTTTTCCTACTTTGCTTAATGCTTTAACTTGTGGCTTGTCACTTTTCATAGTGGCATACTTGAATTTCTCTACCACTTCCCTTTATATATTCTATAGGTTTTTAATTTTGCACAGGATCTCACTATGTTGCTAAAACTGGACTTGAGCTTATGGTCTTTCTGCTCAGCCTCTCCCAGATTGCTAAGATTACAGCTTTACACACCATGAATGCCTCTTTCAGACATTTTTTTCTTGAGGAATTACTCACATTCACAATTTCTGCTTATTTGTGTTAACAATCTTTGTCTAAATTTAGTTATCTAATCTCCCTTCAATGTTTACTTAGTGTAGTTTGGGTAATTTATAACTGTCACTATCCTAATGTTCAATTCCTAATGTTTTGGGGTTTTTGTTGTTGTTGTTGTTACTTTGATTAAACCACGGTTTCCTTTATCTTTATGTGCTGTACTATTGTTAATTGATTTGTCCATTAAAAAAAAAAACAGACAATAGTAGATTATATAGTCCTTGTGGAAAATAGTTTTAAAATAAATTTTAAAAGGCAAGTATAGTGCTACAAGCTTGTAATCCTAGCTAATTGGAGGCCATGCAAAAGATTTCAATTTTGAGGCAAGTCACAGAAATTTAGGAACATCATGTCTGAAACAATTTTAAAAGCTGTGTTGTAGTTTAGTAGTATAGAACCCTTGGGCTTAATCCCAAGCACAACACATAAATAATTAAAAGTAGAATGACCTCATGATACAGAAATGCCAATATTAAATATGTATCCATAGGAAATGAAATCAGCATGTGGAAGAGATAGCTCCACTATTGTGTTCAGTGAAAACATTGTTCTCAATATTCAAGATATGGTCTCAACCTATGTGCCCATCAATGATCAAGTTAGTAAAATTGTGGTATTTATATGCCATTGCTATTTAGATATAAAAATATCTTGCCATTTAAAGTGACATAGGATGAATATGCAGGACTTTGCATTAAGTGAAATAAGGCAGATACAGAAAGTCAGTTGCAGGAAAGTCAGTTGACTAACATGTGGAAGTCAGATATCCACAGAGTAAAATTGTGGTGACCAGGTACTGTGTTTTGTGGAGTGTTGGCATATTGTTAGTCAAAGTTTAGAAATTTTTATTTGAATGGGCATAAGAAGGTCAAGAGTATTTTTGTATCACATGGTCAGTATGTTATGTTCTTAGTAAGTACTAATAGAATGAATGCAATACTTTGTAAGCACAAAACTGATAAATATATGAAATAATGCATGTATTAATTCACTTCATTTAGTCATTTCGCTTTATATGTATATACCTTAAAATACCATGATATACTTAGCAAATACACAAAGTTGAATTTTTCAATAAAACAAATCAGCAAATAACACAAATTAAAAAACATAAAAAACAACTTATTAGTTTTGAGTGCCATGTTGGCTTCATCCAAATAATATGGATGTAGGCTGTGTAAGGTTTTTATTCCCTMCCAAACTAGTTTTCATGGAGAATTTTCTAGACATATGTGTGTATTTTTCTTATTAAAAAATTTGTCCTTATTTTTTTAAGAGTCCATAGTCTCTTTGCTCTTGTTGGATAACTGTGGTATTATCATCCAAAATCTATCTGTTATTTCCAGATCTCTCTGTCATGGTAGATGGAAAGTAGTTTTCAAACACTTCAAGAAAGCCACAAATGCTTGTGTGTCTTTTATATTTTTCTTATTCTACTGAGAATGAAGGTTGGTGGTGGATTTTTTCTAATTGCACAATGCTATATTGTGGAGAAGCTGTATTTGGAAAAAGTTACATTTTTTTTCTCTCTACTATATTATTCTCCTTAGTAATATACTCATCTTGGATACTATGATCTCTACAATAGTTTGAGTAATTTTCACAAGGTAATTTTTGTCTGTACATTTTTACTTATATATTTCTGGAGTAATGATGACCTTCRATTTACTAATATGCTATCCCACTGATTTCCTTACATTGTGATAATTTCATATCTTATCTATGCAAAATATATTCATCCCAGTCTAGTAAGTAAAATAATTTCTATATTGGTTTATTTCAGGCATGGCTTCTCATTATATGCAAGAATTTTCACAAGAACAGGGCATAAAACATATATTTCAAAAAGTAATAAATGGAAAATATGGAAATTATGAACTTGACTATTCACAACAAAGAAAAATATGGAAAATTGTAAGTGAGAATGAACATCAGAAATTATATTATCAAAAGTCAGCCCTTATTCACCACCATAGAATTCATATTGAAGAGAAGCCCTACAAATTTAAAGAATGTGAGAAAGCTTTTAATGAAAAATCTCACCTTATTTGCCATCAGAGAATTCACACTGGAAAGAAGCCCTACCAATGTAAAGAATGTGGCAAAGCATTCATTAAAAAAACACACCTTATTCACCACCAGAAAATTCATACTGGAGAGAAGCCCTACAAATGTACAGAATGTAGCAAATCTTTCATTAAAAAAATGCACCTTATTTATCATAGCAGAATTCATACTGGTGAGAAGCTCTACAAATGTACAGAATGTGACAAAGCTTTTAGTAAAAAATCAAGACTTATTCGCCACCAGCGAATTCATACTGGAGAGAATCCCTACCAATGCAAAGTATGTGACAAAGCTTTTAATCGAAAAAGTAGCCTTATTCGCCACAGCAGAATTCATACTGGAGAGAAGCCCTACAAATGTAAAGAATGTGACAAAGCTTTTAATGACAAATCAAACCTTACTTACCACAGAAAAATTCATACCGGCGAGAATCCCTACAAATGTAAAGAATGTGGCAAAGATTTTATTAAAAAAGCATACCTAATTCCCCACCTGAGGATTCATACTGGAGAGAAGCCCTACAAATGTACAGAATGTGACAAAGCTTTTAATGAAAAATCAAGCCTTGTTTGCCACAGCAGACTTCATACTGGAGAGCAGCCCTACAAATGTACAGAATGTGACAAAGGTTTTAGCAAAAAGTCAAGCCTTGTTCGCCATCAGAGAATTCATAGTGGAGAGAAGCCCTATCAATGCAAAGTATGTGGCAAAGCTTTTAATCGAAAAACTAGCCTTATTTACCACAGCAGAATTCATACTGGAGAGAAGCCCTACAAATGTGAAGAATGTGGCAAAGTTTATAGTCTAAAATCAGCCCTTAATTACCACAGCAGAATTCATATTGGAGAGGCTTACAAATGCAAAGAATGTGGCAAAACTTTTAATCATCCATCAAACCTTACTAGACATCAGAGAATTCATATTAGAGATAAGATCTACAAATGATAACATTATGCCATTTCTTCAAGGGTGGGTCAAAATTTATTCCACACCAGAGCAATTACAGCAGAGAAAAATTATTCAAATGAAAAAACTGTGACAATGTAAAAATGTCTCTAACAGTTGGTCACCCCTTACTCAGCACCTGAGAAAACATACTAGTAGGAGAGAGTATGAGTGGAAAAAATTGTTTTAAAACTCATAGCCATTGCTCAGACATTATTGAACTTTGGAGAATTCATAGTGCTTAGCAATCTTAAAAAGTTAAATAATGTTTCCAAGCYTTTATTTAAATTTCAAATTTATTGAACATCTGAAACCTTATACCTGTAGTGAAGGTTAAACAGCATTTGTCCAAAATATGTGTTGTATATAACAGCAAAATATTTACAATAAAAAACCTTGACAAGTATAAAAGAAGTATAGTAAAGTCCTTATCCATACCTCATAACTTGATATATTTGAGAGTCAGTAAAAGAGAAAATCATTTAAATATAGAAAATGAGCAACTGGCTTCAACATTTGCTTAAAATTTATTAATTATTATTAGGAGATATGGAGAAATAAGAAAATCATTGTAAATATTATACATCCAGAATGCAAATAGCTCATCTTTGAAAGGATACACATTTCTTATAAATCAAAGATTACTGAATATTTGTACTTTTGAATACTGGAGAAAACAATTATAAGAAACAATTACAAGAGGCTTTACATTAAATTTTAATGTTTTAAACTTTATTTATTGTACTGTGGGTTAAATTAAAGGATGCTTAACCACTGAGCCACATTCCCAGTCTTCCCCCCTGGCTCTTTTAAATTTTGAAGCAGGGTCTGCTAAGTTGCCTAAAACCTCATTAAGTTGCTAAGGCTGACTTTGAACTTGTAAAAATTTTTCCTCAGCTTGCCAATGTGCTTGGGGTACAGGCATGGACCACCATGGCCAGTTTACAGTGCATTTTTACCTATATTCACACTATGTATGCAACATGTTAATGAATATAAGTGAATGTTAATATGTTAACACTGTCATGTATTGAATCATGCCATTATCTCAAAGATATCACAGTTTTCCACTTGACTAAGGGATTTATGTAACAGACATACTATTGGGTAAATAGTACTGTAACATCTCTTAATTATTTTCCACATTTTAATCAAACTTATTTGGGAAATATAATTTGCATAAATCAAATTGTTATAGTTTTTCTGTTTGTGTTTGTGGAGATATTAAGAGAGTTATAAGAATGATATTGAGATATGAAAATGAGCCCTAGATCTTTATATTTTGAATTACAATATTAATATCTTACCTTATAGAATGACAGTACTCCTAAAGGCTGGGCATCTCTGGAAAGTCATAAAATCTCCCAATCAGGTGAATTATGAACACCCCAGAGACTAGGATCCTACAGTGCATATTTTGTTTAGAGGAGTCATTGAAGAGAGAGATATTCTCAGTGCTTGCATGRGAAATCCTGTGGTCAACAAGAAACTTGCCTATCATGGCTCTTGGCATGTTCGGTAGAGAAAAAAGACTGAGGAAGACAAGCATTCCTCATAAACTAAATAAGAGTAACTCCTGACTGGCCTCCAAAAATTTAGAAAAACAGCCCAGAATAGGACCACCTGTTTAGTCTTGGACACCCCACAAGGAAATATGACCAGAAAAAAAGTTTAAAATTATATAAACATTTTAAACTCCTACAATTTATTTTACTAGGTATCTTTTGATTTTAGAGACCTCTTTTATTCTACTTTATAATATATAAGAGCTATTACAGATTGTAGGATAGATAGTATATGGCATGCTTTCCCAGTACATCTGTACATCTCAGTCCTTATATTGTAAACTAAACCTGTCCCTTTTTAGGTCTTACAGGTACAGTAGCACATGTCTCCACACAGAAACACAAAATTTGATTCAAATGAACACCAAAAACACACAAAAATTATCCTATATTTCCTCCATGTGTTAGCACTGTGGGTCAACAAAACACCCACAAACTTTGATTTCATTTAAATTAACTTGGATATAAAACATTGCAATCTAATTATAACTTTTCTGGGCAAGAGAACTGTGGAAATAGTAATAATGTGTGTGTAATTTTTTTAAAATTTATTAATTTATTTGTTTGTTCAAATTTCTTATTCATAACAGCAGAATGCATTTCAGTTCTTAGTACACAAATGGAGTACAATTTTTCATTTCTCTGGTTGTGTACAAAGTAGAGTCACATCATTCGTGTCTTTATACAAGTATCTGGGGTAATGATCTCCATCTCATTCCACCATCTTTTCTATCCCCATGCCCCCCCTTCCCCTCCTTCCCCTTTGCCCCATTTGAACTTCCTCCATTTCTCCCATGCTCTCCCATCCCCATTATGGATCAGCATACACTTATCAGAGAAAACATTTGGCCTGTGGTTTTTTTTTTTTGAGATTGGTTTACTTAGCATGACATTCTCCATCCATTTACCTGCAAATGCCATGATTTTATTCTCTTTTAATGCTAAGTAATATTCCACTGTGTATATATACCACAATTTCTTTATCCACTCATCTATTGAATGACATCTGGGTTAGTCCCACAATTTAGCTATTGTGAATTGTGCTGCTATAAACATTGATGTGGCTGCCTCCCTGTAGTATGCTGTTTTTAAGTCCTTTGGGTATAAACTAAGGAGTATGCTAGCTGGGCCAAATGGTGGTTTCATTCCCAGTTTTCCAAAGATTCTCCATATTGCTTTTCATATTGGTTGCACCAATTTGCAGTCCCACTAGCAATGTATGAATGTGCCTTTACCCCCACATCCTCACCAACACTATTTGTTCTTTGTATTCTTAATAGCTGCCATTCTGGCTGGAGTGAGAGAAAATCTTAGAGTAGTTTTGATTTTCATTTCTCTAATTGCTAGAGATGTTGAACTTTTTAAAATATATTTGTTAATCAATTGTATATCATCTTTTGAGAAGTATCTGTTCAGTTCTTTAGTCCATTTATTGATTGGGTTATTTGTTTTTTAGTGTTAAGATTTTTATGTTCTTTATATATCCTGGATATTAGTTCTCTATCTGATGTGCAAGTGGTAAGAATTTGCTCTCATTCTGTAAGCTTTCTGTTCACCTCACTGATTGTTTTCTTTGCTAGAAGAAGATTTTCAGTTTGAATKCATTCCATTTATTGATTCTTGATTTTATTTCTAGTGCTTTAGGAGTCTTGTAAGGAAGTAGTGGCCTAATCTGGCATGATAAAGATTTGGGCCTACTTTTTCTTCTATAAGACACAGGGTCTCTGGCCTAATTCTAGGTCTTTGATCCACTTTGAGTTGAGTTTTGTGCATGGTGAGAGATAGAGGTTTAATTTCATTTTGCTGCATATGGATTTCCAGTTTTCCCAGCACTGATTGTTGAAGAGGCTATCTTTTCCCCAATATATGTTTTTGGCACCTTTGTCTAGTGTGAGATAACTGTATTTATGTAGATTTGTCTCTGTGTCCTCCGTTCTGTACCATTGATCTACAAGTCTATTTTGGTGTGATTACGTGCTGTTTTTCTTACTATTGCACTGTAATATAGTTTAAGGAATGGTATTGTGATGCCACCTGCCTCACTTCTTCATTTTTCTTGTTAAGGATTTCTTTGACTATTCTGGGTCTCTTATTTTTCCAGATGAATTTCATGATTGCTTTTTCTATTTCTATAAGGAATGTCATTGGGATTTTGATTGGAATTGCATTAAGTTTGTATAGTGCTTTTGGTGGTATGGTCATTTTGACAATATTAATTCTGCCTGTTCAAGAACAAGGGAGATCTTTCCATGTTCTAAGGTCTTCTTTAATTTTTTTTCTTTAGCATTCTGTAATTTTCATTATAAACATCATTTACCTCTTTCGTTAAATTGATTCCCAGGGTTTTGTTTGTTTTGAGGCTATTATAAATGGGGTAGTTTTTCTAGTTTCTCTTTCAGTGGATTTGTTACTGGTGTATATAAATGCATTTTTATGGATCTTAATTTTATATCCTGCTATTTTGCTAAATTCATTTATTAGTTCTAGAAGTTTTCTGGTGGAATTTTTCAAATCCTGTTAGAATCATATCATTGGCAAATAGTGATAGTTTGCTTCTTTTCCTATCCATATCCCTTTAATTTCTTTCATCTGACTAATTCCTCTGGCTAGATTTTCAAGAACTATGTTAAATAGAAGTGGTAGAAAAGGGCATCCCTGCCTTGTTCCAGTTTTTAGAGGGAATGCTTTCAATCTTTCTCCATTTAGAATGATGTTGGCCTTAGGCTTAGCATAGATAGCTTTTACAATATTGAGATACGTTCTTATTATTTTATTTTTTCTAGTGTTTTGAACGTGAAGCAGTGCTGTATTTTGTTGAATGCTTTTTCTGCATCTATTGAGATGATCATACAATTCTTGTCTTTAAGTCCATTGATGTCATAAATTACATTTATTGATTTTCATATGTTGAATCAAGCTTTAATCCCAGGGATGAACCCCACTTGATAGTGGTGTACTATCTTTCTAATATGTTTTTGCTTTCAATTTGCCAGAATTTTATTGAAAATTTTTGCATCTGTGTTCATAAGAGATATTAATCTGAAGTTTTCTTTCCTTGATATGTTTTTGCCTGGTTTTAGAATTGGTGATATTGACCTTATAGAATGAGTTTGGAAGTGTTCTCTCTTTTTCTATTTCATGGAATAATTTGAGGGGTATTAGTATTAGTTCTTCTCTGAAGGTCTTGTAGAACTCAGCTCTGAATCCATCTAGTCTTGGGCTTTTCTTGGTTGGTAGGCTTTTGATGGCATCTTCTATATCATTGCTTGAAATTGATTTAACTTATGTATAATGTCCTGATTTAGTTTATGTAMATCATATGACTCTAGAAATTTGTTGATGTCTTCAATATTTTCTATTTTACTGGAGTACAAATTTTTAAAATAATTTCTAATTATCTTTGAATTTCTGTAGTGTCTGTCATGATATTTTCTTTTGTATCACAGGTTTTAGTAATTTGAGTTTTCTC